AAAGTCGATCTATGAATTATTCTGGTCCAGAGCATATTATTTGCAGCAGCCGAATGAAGATATAGCATCTACTTGCGCAATGAAACAAAATGCAGTCTGCTTCCAAATTGACCACATAGTCTTGAGTGACATTAGATTCATTCGTATTTCCGTCCTTTAGTTCTGTGAAAAGACATTTTATTTGCTCCTTTAGTTTATAAAATATCATCAAGCGCCATCCTATCCTAGTTTGACAAACATTGAAAGTTACACTTTTTTTTTCACTAACATCGGTCTTCAAACAGTTAATGTAACAGTTAAGACCTGACTTAATTACACCTCCGCCGGCCGCTTGTCACCACTGGATCAAATGACCATTCATTGGCCGTTGATGAGACTGCTTGTCACGGTGATTAATTAGTTACGGTTCATCTGGAACCAAATTGTACGTATTGCAAACTGTTACTCTAAACTGAATGGCTGGTGATATTGCCGAGCAAAAAATTCTGTTCATCAGACAACTCTGCCCTTACTTAAGGTTTTGCAATTAAATTTCAAATTTTTTGGGGGTCTCAAACGAAACTCTCCTAAATTGTTTAATTCCTCCTCCTGCTTTCACCAATTAATCAATCAATCAATCATCCCTTGTCTATTCTCTACCCCCACAGTGTTTTACTTTTGCCGTCTTCATTCTCCTTACCCCCAAACAACTAAGCCACTAACACCCCAACTACCAACTCAAGCACCAAATCAAAACCCAAAAGAACCTCGTGATTTGATGATTCTTCCTCTCTCGCACCACCTATTGGTGACTCTGTCAACATCCTCCAATACTGTAGATCACTTCTGTTTCTTTTCTCATCTTCTGGAATTAAAATCAATGATCATGAAGAAAGAACAAATAAATTAAATGACATCTATTCCCCCCCCCCCCCAAAGTATCTCTAATCACCCTTTTATTTGTTGAACTTTTTATATTATTATCTGGTTGGAAAAAGAGTCAAAGGGGAAGTTTGTCAATTTCAATTAGGGAAGATTAAGCTTTTGTTGAATTTTTTTGGGTGAAACTGGGTTGGAGGTTAGTGTTTGTGGCAATGATAGCGGCTTTATTGTTGTGGTGATCATGATGATCAAGAATCTACAAAATTTTTGTAGTTGGGAACAAGAAAAGGAAAAAAAAGGTTTGTCATGGGTTATGGAGGATTTAGTTGAAGTAATAATTCTTAATCTTAATATAAAGAAGGGCAAATTGTCTCAAAAAGTGAAATTTGCTCTGATCTTATTTTTTGCTCTAGGAGTGCATCTGCCAAACTGAACATATAAATTCGACTCGCAACTCTTAATTAGAAGATTTTTTTTTTTTTTTTACTTTTATTTGGATAAGTTAAAGGTCTCAAATCCGGGACCTTTTACTTATACTCCCTCCCCACGGTATCACCCAACCTATCCTTTCCCCCACTCTTAGAAGATTTTGACTCACAATTCTTATGAATTATAGATGATTTATTTTTAAAGCTGGATCCTTAAATTATTGAACACCATCTCAAGTTTTCCAGAATTATATGCAGCTTCCCAAACTCTTATTATACGTATCTTTTACCCCTCTCCTTGTTAATATCCCGGCGACTCCCCAAAAAAAGGTCAATATCATGGTGAATATTACTAGTGTTTTAGGCATACTCTATATGCATGCTTAATTTAAAAAATGCATATTTTTGTTTGTGTTGAAAATTATATATATATATATATATATATATATAATTTAGTATATTACGTACAATAGGTAATTAAATATTAAAAATATCTTGGTAGAGGATGAAATGGAAGTCTGCGATTTTAAAACTTAAAAAAATTTCATGGAAAGGATGGAGCGAAGTTTAAAGTTTTAAAATTCGAGTGAAATAATAATAAATATGGGATCACACAAAATAACAAAAATTGTTAGCACTGCAAGCATGCTCTCCATTTACATATATGCATGTAGTATAGATTTATAGTCTTATAGATATGATTAATTTTTTATGCATTGACAATATAAAAAGACTTACTCTAAATAGGACAAAAGAGAAAAGCTTACTCTAAATAGGACAAAAGAAATTATGTGACATAATCGAAACCCACTAGCATAGAACAAGTTGTATACTGAAAATGTATAAAAGGCTTACTCAAATTGATAAAGATACCCTCATTCATTACCAGGCTAACAACACTACTCTCCTTCCAGTTCCTAACTTCTCGACGTGCTCCTTGGTAGCCATCGACTGCCTCAACCAGTCCCTCTTGTAAAAATCTATACGAAATTTCTAAATCTCTGAACAACCAAAATTTTCCTCACCTTACTGTACTCTCTTTCCTTTTTGAATGATGCCCTTACAACCATGAGGGTTTTGAAGCTCACTTGTCAGGTGACAATCTTTTATCTTTTCCATTCTTTCTATGTTTACTGCCAAAAATCAAATATATGTGAGACTACATGCATTACAAATAGGTCATTCTATTGCAAAAGTTTAATGCTAAAGGAAGTTCTGCCCGTCGGATTTCTCGATCCTCTTCCGCCTGAAGAACGTCTTGCCATGCAACAACAACAAGAAGCTGCTGCTGCCCCAACTAGTCATCATCATCATCCTCATAATGGGCGCCGTACTGTTTATCCTTTGATGTCTCCTCTTGATCATCCGGCGAAGGAGGAGCCTTTGGCTTTGGTGCACGTGGATGATGATCACAACAAGGCTCCCATTGTTGGTCCCGTATTTAGGAATGAAAGGAGGACCAGTAGTTGCGTTAAGCAGTTTTGGAAAGTCGGTGATTGTTATGATGCCCGTCATGATGCCAACATTTCTGCTTCAGAAACCGGTACCATACTACTTAATAACTAATAATGGATGGAAGTTTTGGATGTATTTCCTATTGGCTTTTCATTCATTTGATAAGAATTCGCATCTTAAGAGTTACAAACAAGATTTACTCACCACTAATTAAGAGTAGTGAAACAGATTAACTGAAGGACGAATGAGGGCGTTGGACCGGGCTTAGTTTAAATTGTTAAATTTCAGTTTTCTTTTTGTACATTCCCTGTAGCCATTCTGACAAATTTAGTGTAATCAGCTCGTGTCCTCTAATTTAAAACGGCACTAACGGCCATATAGTTACCTGTGGAAGGGATTTATTGGAGCAGCTATAAGTAACCTCTAGTACTGCAGACGTCAAGAGCTTTCTTCATTTACTTTTGTCCTTCCGGTTAGACATTAACAGCATTTTTTTCGGTAGGTTAAATTTCAAGTCTCTTTCAGACAGAAATACTTTTACAGCTCAAAAACTTTGATTATAGAACTAAATGAATTCAATGGCCAATACATCTATGGCGAAGTCTGTCTGTTTATGTGCTTCTAAGCTGCAAGCTTTGCGGTATGAAAAAGATAGAAACAAGTCACTGGAAAACAAAGCAAGTCTTTAATTTGAAATATGATTTTTCTGGATAACACAGGATGTTTGTAGTTGAACAAGGGCCATCATGAAGGAATTCTCAAAGAGAATCATCTGTGGGTACTTGTGCTTGTTAATATGTTATTAGAAACTTGAGGAAACAATTATGGAAAAGCTTGAAGCTTCCTAGAGACCTGTCTACAACTGTCATTTGAGCATTTTTGTGTGATTGAAACAACTATTGAACTTTTCTATTTAGATTCAGGAGGTGGCGCAAAAGCTTAAAGAAATAAATAGAGAGACTGAATAAGAAATGCGTAAACGAGATTTAAGAGAAGAGGCTTTGAGGAACAAAGCAATGGTGTGTACAGCTAGTATTTTCTTCATGGTACTTTGATGTTTTTGTTCTTTCTCAGCTTCCGTGCTAGGTAGCCTGTAGATTGTGTATGAAACTTTAATTTCTCCGTTGCAGGTTGCTGCTGACGTCATTGAGGAGTTACGCAATAAAATAAATCTTTTAGAAAGAACGAGAGCAGTTTTAAATTGCAAATATGAATTTAAGGGTTGAATATATATATATATGTCTTCAATCAGACCGCCAGCTGAAAGATGGAGTTTTTTTTTTTTGTTTGGTTCTCCAAAGATGAGGGCTACACTAATTATTAAGTCTGCAGCTTAAGCGTAACAAATACTAGAAAAAAGCCTAGAGATTTATTGTGTGGAAAGAAGCTGAAAAGGCACAGACCGGAGTTCGAAAATTAGGGTCACGGGTAATCTAGGACCAGTTTGTTCCATGCGTTTGAACCCATGGTTCAAAGTCGCGGTCGCAGTTGCGATCGCGGCCTGGATCTTTCTACATCGGTCTCGACATATCGGTCGCGGTCTCGGCGAAACGCGAATTTTTGAAATATTTAATATTCTAAAAATTGTAAAAAATATGATAAACAAAAATAATTAAAAAATTTGTAAAAGTAATAAAAATTCAAGTTGACTTGGGATGACTCGGAGTGATTCGGTGAGACTCACCCGTTTCAACCCTTCACGATGACGTCTCGGCGAGTCACGTATCTCGATATCATTTCGTCGCGGTCTCGTCTCGACCTAGTCCGAGACGGTGACAAGACGACTCGGCCGAGTCCTCGAACCAATTGAACCTGGCAATAGACCTTTGTCACAAGTTACAAACTGTACTTGTAGAAGTATGGATGAGAGAAGATAGAGAAATTTCTGGTGTCGTCTCTTCATCTAGAATTAAGCTATAAAGTGTTCTCATTTTAGTCAGAAATTAAGCTATAAATATTTTTACAAGATAAAAGCTCGTGTATTCATCAGTAAATCACAAAAGCTCGTGTAGTCATCATTCAACAGCAATCATGGAGAATGTTGCCCGTGGTACAGTACACATTCCTCTCAACTGTGCTGTGCCAGATGTAATTGTTTCAGTGCAGTATGTTGCACACGCATTCGGCTGTATCGAATATGACTACTTGCATAGTAATGGGTGTGGCATGATCTTGAATTATTCAATCAGAGAAGGTTTTCTGTAAGTTTGATTTGGAAAATTCCGAATGACAGTTGTTCCAGTTGGTACATAAACCTTTAAAAAAAAAAACCATGCAGTCAATTTATTTTATCATTTCGCCAATTTCTTGAACTCATGAAGAAATCTATATTTTACTATGATTACCCGACACTAGTCGACACCTGTTTTCTTTTATAGTAAAGCCGTAGATAAGCGGAGGTGAGGTGAGATTTTATAGCTGGTATCTATGGGTGCTGTTCTTGTGGGGTTGTGGGAGGAGATGGACGATGGTACGGTATCCAGGTTCTTGGGTCTCCAAGATTAACTTTTGGTGGTACTGGTGGTGGGGGAGGAGGAAATCGAGGATAATTAGGTATCCAAGTTCCAGGATAAGATGCAGGTGGAGGAAGCAGGGGAGGTGCTTGAGGGAAGGGAGGAAGAGGAGGGAATGTGAAGGACGGTGGTGATGGAGGAGGGCTAGGATATGGTACTTGAGGGAAAGGCCACGATGGAAACGGAGGTAAATATGGTAATGGCGGCAGGGGAGGAAGAGATGGTAATGGTGGCAGGGGAGGGAAGGGGAATGATGGAAATGGGGGCAATTGAGGCAAAGGTGGAAACTGGGGCAAAGGGGGCCATGGAATGCTCCCATAGTAGGGAGGAAAATAAGGTAAGAAAAACTTGGAGGAATTGAAAGAGTATGGCAATCTCGTCTTTTTATTCCCACATAAGGTGACATTCCTAGTAAATGGTCTATAACTGAGAGCACTCAGGCTGTATATACATTGATTGGTCTGTTTTGATTTGATTGTGATCTCATTAGTTGTTCTCCTAAGCCCCGGAGCGCTGCAAGCCGGAGATAAACTCCCTTTCAAGCTTGCTTCACAGAATGATTGAATATCCGGGTGTCCGGTGCAGTCAATTCCCTCCACGGATGGTATGTCCAGGTTGTAAATTCCATGTCTATTCGTAGTTCTGTTGACTGAGAAGGTTATCTGTTCGGTTGTTCCGGGCGAGATTGCTCTAAATTTGCACTGAATATGCACTTGGGCACCTAACAAAATGTAATCGGGGTGTAAAAATTAGAATCACAACTTTCCAGAGGGCAAAGGGCAAGATTAGACTCTCTATATTCGACGAGTTGTTTGTTTACAACTTTAATTTGAGGAGTAAAATAGCTTACCTGGCAAGAAGTAGCTGCTCCGCGAGAAAGTGTTATCGTAACATGCATCACAGAAAACTGAACCTTGTACGGTGATATGGGAGGTGGGTTGTAGGGGTTGAGCTAGCAGGACGAGGGGCGGCTGGACGCATAAAGTTGCAAGAAGAAGAAGAAGAAGAAGAAAGAGAAACATTTTGTCATCCACGGAAGCAAAAATGGTAGCAAATGGCATGTTGGGAACAGAAGCTTCTATTGATCATTTCTCGTAATGGCTGCTTGGTAGTACTTGTAGTTGTAGCCCATCTGAACCATCTGAATCATTTTCAATATACATTATACCAAAAAAAAAAAAAAGGAAGAAGAAGAAAGAAATTTCTGTATGCATATAATTGAGCCCGTGAATGGTTTGGTGGGAGGACCAACTGTGTATTTTAATTCCAAGTTGGAAACAGTTTAGGGCGTACGTTTATGATTTAGCAATGCAAACCAGGGCATGTGAACTGATTGAAGTAACCTTCTGGCGGATGGTGGGGATTGTAAGGCTAGAATCATGAGAAGCACAGAAGAACATGAATAATATTCACGGGCCGTATGGAGGATGGGACGATGGGAGGGAGGGATCTCAGTTGTGGGTCGCAAGGATGAAGCAGAAGAAGGTTAAATTCCCAGCTGTCGATGATCGAAACATGTGTCAAGTCAACATATGCTTTTATGAAGACATATCTCCTGATCAGATCAGTTGCCTGTATTTTGTACTCTCGCAGTCACGGGTTGCCATCACGAAGCATTTACACTCCTTATAACACTTGCTGAGGGAATGAGAAAGGAAAACTCTGAAGACGCGATGAGAAGTAAAAAGTGTTTGTAGTCAAGAATAATGTTATTGTCTTGTTTCGATTGTTTTGTTGTCTCGTACGTAAACCTTGCGAAGCATGCCATGCCAAACTATGAATCATTATTTTACTACTACCATACTAAAAAGCCAATAGGAGGATGGATACTCGTACTCTGTCTCTGGGTGGACTACACCTAAATTTAGCTGATTCGATGCATGAGTTTTAGCCAGCATGATTGATGCAATAATTCATGCAAATGATCAACTTTTACTGCATGCAATAGTTTTGGAAGACGATGGGCATCTCCGGATTGTCATTTCATCCACAAGCACTCTTCACTCTCTGACTCTGGGTCGAGTTTATCTTAACACTGCGTGCGTGGCCTCAGCATCTTTTCTCGGCTACGATAAGTCATTTGGTTATCTCAACTATTTATTTCCAAGTTGCATCTTCTGTAATCCACAACTGGGGAGGGGAATATCGATCACTCGCTGCTAAGGGCGTCATTCTGAGATCAATTTCGAAGGCAAACAAAGGCGGGCAAATCTTCTCGATCGATAACAAATCACTTTGGCTCTTTCCTTTTTTCGACTATGTCACGAATTGACCTACAAACGAGATGTGATTCCTGAGTAAGATCATTGAACTTTGACGCGCATTTTGTAAGCTAGATCGACGACGGTGAAGGCTACAGCAGCATGGAGCCTGGTTCGACTTCGATCGTCAAATGTCAATACCCCTTTTGATAAGACGACCCCCTTTTAAAAGCCTGACATGTTTTTCCATATGGAAGGAAGCTGGCTGAGTTTCTCATTTCCCTCTGCAATCACACATCAAGAAGTTTCGCTGGCTTAAAGCTGTGTGCACCACTACTAATCTTCCATGCAGAAAAAACAAGGGGTTGTGTGCACTAACATAACATCATGCTCGGTGCGATAATAAATGTAGTAGTTTCTAAGATAGATAACATGCAACGATACATTTAAAGTTTGTTACTCGTTGAGAATTATGTTTCACCATCAACTCTATCCCATCCAATGAATGCAAAAATTAGAAACCAAAGAATAGCAGCTAGAGCAAAGGTCCAGGACCAGCATTTACGTACGCAGGATTTTTGGATGTTCCTTTCCATAAGAATAAGAATAGTAGCTTGTGTTATTTACGATTTAGTTGGGAATGAATTGTTCTCAATCTAAATGAAAGAAAAAAAAAATTGTTACTATAAATTGCTTGAAAACTGACAATTCTGAGGCGGAGTATGATGAAATGAAAAATTCAAAGAGGAGATTATTGATAGCTGGGTCATGCATATTAAAGACATTTTATAGTTTGATCCTAACTGGAAACTAGAAGATGTGATGCATCGTAAGGCTAATCATCAATCAACGTGCAAACATTCTTACAAAAGTCTTGTCCAGAATAATTTTGAGAAGACAACTCAAAATCTGCAACAAAAATAACAAGGAGGAGGAGTGTTGGAATATCAATGCAATTTCTACTGCAAATTTCTAATTTTAGAATAGTTCAATTTGATCTGTAAAGTTTAGTTATTGGCTGATTATTTACAGTTGTTCCGTCATTTATAGTCTTCTTACTAGTTCAACTATCTTCGATTTTTTTCAGTATTTTTGTTAAGCTTGTTCATTAGGAGATGCTTTTGTTAAGATTGTTTATCAGGAGATGCTTGCGTTTAATTTGTGAGGGCAGATGATTAATAAAAAATTTAAACTAAAAAAAATTTATAAGAATCTCGGCCCCTCCGGGACATTTCAGTCTGGCGACAGGCCCAATGGGATGGCAACGATGCTTCTCCCGTTGACTCAGTAGAAGAACGCAACAAAAGAGTTTCGGAGAGCGTGTAGCGAGGTACAAAGCCCTCTGGGCTGTATTGAGTGGAGCAAACCCGCATCTCCTGGCTCAGGAATTCTTGACGCGAAATCTTTTCTTGGGCCATTGCACAACGGTTGATCGAAACTAACTTTCAAATTGGCCAGCCCACAAGTCTCTCTTAACCCATTCCAAATCCAGTGTTGCTGATTAATTAGATCATTCTCTTTGAACCCAAAACGATGTTCGACCACCCAATTGACCATGAAATTTTGTAAATTTGCACTAGGGATTATCATCGTTCGACTTCTCTCTCAAATTAGTAAATGATGATTATTCCATTTTCTTATGTTATCTGACGTGAATCAGTAATATCAAGGTGTCTTAATATTGTTGTGACAGTTAACGTAAGGTTAGTTGAGGCAGGAGCTTTGATGCCCTGTCTTCGACAAGTCATTTGTAACATTTATTTTCAAATGTTATCCATTGTATAATACATACATACATACATACATATATATATATATATATATATCCATTGTGCGATATTGGGTTGAACGAAAAAAGAGTTCATTTTGTATTACGATATTCAAAATGACAAAAATGTAGTGTACCATACGTAACAAAGAAAAGAAAAGGAGATCGATGGCTTCATTGAACTCTTCAACTCTATACAAAGGAGGAGTCGAGTACATTTACTTGCTAAAAAACAGGTGAGCATAAACTCGATGGAGAATTAGTCTTGGGGGGGGGGGAAAAAAAGGGGAACCCGCTGAGCAGATGGGTTCAAAATGGAGGAATCCAATTGGAGCTATAACAAAATAAAAGCGCAAACCAATTTGTAGTCCTCTCCCTGCTCTGCCCCGTTCCTTGTTAAACCGTGCATGTGTATGGGATGGAAATTCATCAATTAATACTACTAGCTAGTTAGCAGTAGATGAAGATGAGAGACTTAAATACTAGCAGTATTGATTAATTATATATGTATACATATATATATAGAAATATATTTTTTTTAAAGCCAAAGAGCTCCGGCTTCTTTGAGGAGGGGGACCAATGTCCCATTGATATGGGAAGCCATGACCCTGTCCATGGCACCCACGAGCTTCCCTCCGATGAACACCACCGGAACAGGCGGCGAGTTCCCAAGGAGCCTGATGAGAGCCCTCTCGATTTCTTTGCCCCTGGGGTCCTGATCCAGCTCGTAAACAGTCGGGTTCACTCCCATCCCGCAAAACAGCCTCTTGACTGCATGGCACATGCAGCAAGTGCTCATGCTGAATATCACCACCGCACTCCCCGATGCCAGCCTCACCACCCTCTCCAACGGGTCCGCTCCTCCCATGCTGATGCCGTGCCTCACCCCCGCCGCCGGTGGTGCAGCTGCATAGTAGCCCCACGACTCGGCCGCCGCCTCCTGGTGGTAATGCATTCTTCTCGATTTTGATTACGTATCACGCTTCGATCTGAAGGACCTACGTGTCGTACGACAATTAGCAAGTTAACGTGAATACAGTAAGGGTGAGATTTGAGAAAGAGTTCTCTTGTAAGCAGAAGCAGTACGAGGAAGTTTTTAAGGCGGGGATCGAATTCTATTGTGGATGCGATATATATATGTATGTATGTATGTATATAAGGTGTGAGGAAGAGATGGAGAATGGAAGACGGTGGATGGTGTGTTTATATAGGAGTGAGTGAAGTGCCCGTATTTGGAGTACAGAAGAAGAAGTAGAGTATTGAAGTAGTGAATACTGGAATAGTAGTAGTAGCATTCGGCTTTAAGGGTTCATTTTCATTATTAATATTAGGAGGAGTAATACTGGAACACCGGCATTTTGGTACATGTGCTGGGAGAGGGAGGGCCGGGGGAGGGGGAGGGGGTTTGTCTGATGTTGTCGCAACGCGTGCTCAGGGAAATCGACCTACGTAGTCTTTTGCTCTAAAAGGATAGGGCAAAAAATTTGTACGCACATTTCTTTGACCTTTTGTTGCAGTACATACTCCGTCAGTAGAGTAGACAACACAGAGACAACGGGTCTGAAAATGAAATTTTCTTTTGCCTTCATTTACTAAGCAGCAGCTGGAAAAGGTGGCAGCAGCTTAAGGCGGCGACATGGGATACGTCTACTCTCTCTAGAGGATTAAAACTCCCCACCCCACCCCTTCCCAAAAAAAAAAAGAATGAAGAAGCACTAGGAAGCACTGGCACGTACGTCGGGGTAAGGGCTTTTTTTTTTTTAAATTATAACGTTAATATTTTTATAACCAAATTTATCTTATCCTATACGAGAAGAGGGAGTCTAAAAAGATTATGTAAAGACTAATAAACATATAGATTTAATTAGACCAAAAAAATATTTTAACACTTTTTTTACAATTTTTTAATGTATATAAGATTTGAATTTTCGACCTACAGTTCAAAAATGGGCTTAATCTCTTTTTGATGTTCACCGAACCAAAAATTATGTAAAGACTAATAAATATATAAATTTGATCAGCCCAAACGGATATTTTGATACTTCATTTGTATTTTTTTTAGTGTAAGTGAGATTTAAACTTCCGACCTAACCTACGTACCGTTCAAAAATGGACTTAACCTCTTTTTTGTGTTCACTAAACCAAAACTCCTTGGTTGTGGTAGGGGCTTATTTGGTTCCGGGGACTTTGTACAAGAGTGATTTTTTAGAGGCTAGGGAGACATGAAAGCAGGCTTTTTCAGTGAAACCTACACTGCTGCTGCGAGGTATGTTAGTTCGTTTAAAGAAAGAAAAAGAGAAAGATAGAGAGAGGGGAATGGATTTTTTTTTTCCTTTTTTAAAATCGACGGCTGTCTCTGTCCTTGTTGTCGGGGCTTTGCTCTGCCGCTGTGCGCAGCACTATTAATTAATAAATACTCCTGGTATTGCTTCCTATCGCATTTTGCTTTATGACATGACCTTAATAGGACGCTGCCCTTCCCCCAAACCCCGCCCCCCAACCCCTCCCCCACCCCATTCGTTTCTGTATTAATTAACTTTGATGCTTGAATCTAGATAGACAATTGAGAGTATGGTGCAACGTTCTTAAAGATTTGGTAGTTACTAACTAGTCTGACTTAATGCTGCCTCTGTCTAACAAGAGGGAGAGAGCGTGCGTGTGTATGCATGTGCGTGTTTGTCTTTTTCTATTAATCTTCATTTTGAGTGTGATTATGTTAAAATTAGCAAGGCCATGCCAATGCTAAAGATTGCTAGCAGATTGGGATTTGGGTTCTGATTTTCTTGGTATGTGGAAATTGACTGAGTCAGTTTTCTCTCTAATTTTCATTTCCACACATTAGTATAGAGGCGAGTAGTTTATCTTTATCATCAGTGAATAGTGCAGTACAGATGTTTGCAGAACATCAGACGATAGTTAGTTAAGTCAGTCAGAAACAAGTATACATGGTTAGGCACCACCATTTTTCGTAGAGATGCTCAATTCATTGGTACATGCTGAATTTTATTAGAACATGTAACGCATCTAAATCGACAGTGACGATCCTTAAAATGCTTCTACACACACACACATATATATATATGGGATATCAATAGTTTTCCTCTGTTTACTCTTTCACCTTTTAATTATTGTAAAAATTATGTGGATAACCTTTTGCTTCTCTCGACGGAGGAGATGTAATGCCACAATGCAGCATGTTGGAATAATGAGGACTGGAAAGAAAGACGGTCAATTGTTCTGTTCTTTCGACAAATTCATCAAAGAAGAACACGGTGTAATATTACGATAACACTATAACGACATCCCTCTAGCATTATAGTAATATTTTGTCTTAAGTACTAATAGTATCGGTTTTTTTATGTTTTTGGGGGGGGGGGGGGGGGGGGGGGGGGTTGTGTATGTGTATGTTTTTTTATTTTTTTTGTGTATGTGTGTGTGGTAAGTGGTAAGAATCGAGGCTTTTAGTGAGTGAGTTGCTAGTCCGAAGTTGTTTTTGGGCAAATAAGGTACTCACACGGCTAAAAGTAGAAAAAAAGGTGGTGGGCAAAAATTGGCCGTGATTAAGGCTTTGGAGCATATATATGCACGATGTTGTACTCACTTCTACGGGTGTAAATTAACACAAATCTTATTTAGACTCGCGAGTAGTTCGATTAAAGGTTCGACTCGAACTCGTCGTTGGTCGAGTTCAAATTACTTGATAAGGTAATTGAGTTGAATTCAAATAGAAAAAAAATCAAAATCCAAGTACTCGTCAAGCTTTTATCAAGTAGTGCATTTATAAGTAGAAAAAAAAAATCAAAACTCAAATGCTCGTCAAATTTTATTAAATAGTATATTTATAAGTTAAAAAAATCAAAATTCAAGTACTCGTTGAATTTTATCAAATAGTGCATTTATAATATACTGGTTTTTAATTATTTATTATAAAATTATGAAATTTAGTGAAAAACTAGTTTGAAAACTTAATTGAGCTAGATTAAGCTTATTTGAGCTCAATTACACTCGATTGAGTGCGATTTGATTGAGTTCAACTAAGATAAATAAATAAATATATATATATATAGGTCCAAATTTGAATTTAAACTCGACGAGTTTGGGCTCAAACACGAATATTCTTATTCAAGTAGACGAGTGGTGAACAAATCCAGCCGGACTCAACTCGATAACAAATCTACTTGATATATTAATGATGTCATTCCATGAGGACGTATTGAGCACGCACCCGAGCGCACAGTGGCAGCCGTGACTCCTGATGTCACTAACGAGTTTGGGAATGAGTTTCAACTTAAAAACGAAGTGCAAATTATGAAACCACCAGCCAAAAAACTGGTGGCCACCACCTAACCAAAAAATATCATATCTACATGGTTTGTTTTTGAAAAAAATTCAGACAAGTGTATTGTGCATCTGTCTGATTCAGTGGTGATTCAGTCCCTTCCGAATTATTCCTGAATTTCTTTAGGTCCGCCCCCTCCCCTAGTGTAGGATAGAATAGGTTTATCGTCCAAAACAAAAAAAAAAAAGAAAAAAGAAGGTGCAAATTATGAAATTGTTACATACTGGTGGTAGTAATGAACGTTGGAGTAATATTGCGCGAGCGACATGCAGGCAGCAAAAGTGAATCCTTTTATCCTTTTGGCAGAGGCAATAAACGAAGAGTAAACCAGCCCCTCCCCTCATGAGTATCATAACATTTTTTTGCCGCAGCATATATAACAAAAGTGTTGACTGCTGATAGAAAAAGAAAAAGGAGCAAAGAATGGGCAAAATATAAAGAGCAAGAGCAGTAGAAGGAATTAATGGGGATGTCCACCTAAAGAAGCGACAATGGGTGGGCAGTTCCAAGGAGAAAAAAGGGAGTTGCGCGTGCACATGACTGAAGCATTGGCAGTCGGGCGGCGGGCCGGTGGGGGAGCGTAAGTACGGATGCGGCGAAAACCGGCGAAAGCATGGGGACCCATTTCCTTCTTCCTCCGACCGCAAACTAATCTTCCCTCACTTTTTTGTCCCTGGAGCTGGGGTCATCATTTCTTATTCCTTTCTTTCTTTTTAATTCTAGGCTTCCACCGTGATCATAATCTAATTTGACTGCCACCTGCAGTCATCAGCATGCATGCATCACATCTCTCTCTCTCTCTCTCTCTCTCTCCGGAGTGTTGACCGACGAACAGCTTACCCAAAAGAAAGAAAGCAAGAAAGAAAGAAGGACATGGATCCCTTTAAAGCATGTGATCTTGTAAATCTGATGTCATGCTCCCAATCCTCCCATGTTTCTGATTCTCTTGCAGGCAGATATTATTATTATTTACTCGTACTGTTTTATTTCGTCTTTTCTCTCATCCTCTTTTCTTTTGTCGTACGTTACCATGCGGCCTCTTCTTTATTGTTTGCTTTCACTTTCGTTTTGGGCTTTGTTGTTTCTTTTTGGGGTAGCCATTGTCGCTCGTCAACAAAAGCTAAGGTCTCATCCACCCACATGCCATTGGGCGTCTATCTTAAATAACACTACTTTTTCAGATAAGCACAGATCGATTGTGGATCCGTAATTGGGCTGGCCAAGTATCGCGCTTCCCTTGCCATTTCATCTTTGCCCCTGGCTCCGGCATTTTGTTCATCTTGACGTCTTACTAACTTAGATATTTTTCTTCTAATTAGGGATTTATCTTTTCTATACTGTTCATGTAAACACTGACAGATTCAAATATATATATATATATGTATTACATCATCTTAGTTTAAATTTATATATCAAACTTTACATGTGTGTCATGCGTAGATGAACCCCGTTGGTATAATTTGTGTTCTTCTAATTATCATACATGGTTGATTGTTCTTTTTCTTGGAAGCTTCTAAATCTGATGGTTTTCGGTGCTGAATGCAGGTATGTTTGATGTTTTAGCCCATATTGAAAAAGATGTTACAGGCCTATTTACTTGGATTAATGAGAGTTATGCAAAGCTGATTGCGAATCCTGGTAAAGTTGCATTCATTTGATCCTGAGGCAGGGACTGCGATGTAGCATCAGTTTGAATAGAACCTTAATTTGTTGAAAGTTCTGCAGATAAGTCTGAGGTTTATTCTCTTCAAATGCGGATACACAAGGTCGACACTTTGGTATCATACAAGAATG